AAGACATAAATGGGTAGTGCAGCTGTTAGAGCAGCAAAGATGTCTTTTTTAATTCAAAGGACAGTACCTGAAATCTGGAGTGACAAATGCGAAGTAATCTGCCCTAAACTAGAGTCTGACCCATGGCACTATGAGTGAGGCTGTGGGTGTCTATCAAGTTTTTGTTTCTGAGAGATGACAAGCCTAACTAAGTTGCCATTCTGCACCATCTTGTAGTCCTGCAGGTATCTGTGACATCCTTTATAAAGCCAAAATGCAGTGGTGCCACTCTGAGGGCTCACTGCAGCAAGCTTCACATAGTCCATAAAGTTTTGGATAGAGGAAGGAATATACTAATGAGATTTAGAAAGGGAAAGGAAGGTCACAGTGGCTCACAAGGCATCTGTGCTACCACAGAGTGAAATGAGCATGAGTTGAAATAGAAGGAAGGAAGAAAAAAAGTGTGAAGGTTATTGAGACTGATATGTTTATCTTGGCTTCATGCAATTTCCACTCAGGGTCAACCCTTTTGTTGACTCAGTGACAATCACACAATAGCTGTGGGATGCGGCTGGGCTGGACTTTTCCTGAATTACCTAGGGTACTCTGTCACAGAAAAATTCACAGGGAACTTGAGTCACCTTTGCTGTTACTGTGATCTAGCAACAAGACAATTCCACCCAATTAAAGGAAATAACATAGCAGTTCTCATAGGAATAAATATACATACACCTCAGCCACAGTTTTTCAAATTTGCCATTGTAAAGCAGAATATTCACCTGGTATCCAAAATTCACTCCAAGCAAAAAGAAACATTCCCATTCAAAATTATTCTTGGAAAATAAGCTCTGCCTCACCAGTAGTAATATCAAAGACCAAGATTTAAACCAAGCAACATGACACTAAATCTATTCCTTGATAGCAGCTTGATAGCTATGGATGTCATCTATCTGGATTTCTGGTCCCCCACAACATCCTAGTCTCTGAATTGGAGAGGCATGTAGGTGATGGATGGACTGCTTGGTGGATGAGGAATTGGCAGATGAGGAATTGGTTGGACAGTTTGGACAGTCTCATCCAGAGTGTCGTGGTCAATGGCTCAGTGTCCTGATGCATGTTGGTGACAAGAGGTTTCCCTCAGGGGTGCATGTTGTGATCACTGCTGTTCAATATTTTCATCAATGACATGGATGAAAGGATCAAGTACACCCTCAGCAAGTTTCCAAATGAACCAAGCTGAGTGGTGCAGATGACATGCCAATGGGATGGAATGCGATCCAGAAGGATCTGGACCAGTTTGAGCAGTGAATCCATGGGAACCTCCTGAATTTCAACAAGGCCAAGTACAGGGTCCTGCAACTGGGTCAGGGCAACACGTTATATCAATGCAGACTGGGGGGTGAAGGGATAGAGAGAAAACCTGCTAAGAAGGACTTGGTACTACTGGTGGATTAAAAGTTAGTCATGAAGCAGCAATGAACTCTTGCAGCCCAGAAGGGCAACCTTATGCTGGATTGTATCAAAAGAAGTGTGACCAAAAAGGTTGAGGAAGGTGATTCTCCCCCTCTACTTGTCCCTGGTGAGACCCCATCTGGAGCACTCAGTCTGTCTCAGGTCGTGAAGAAAGGCCAGAGGGGGATTACCATAGGACAGGAACAGTTCTGCTGTGAAAACAGGCTGGAAGAGTTGGAGTTGTTCAGCCTGGAGAAGACTCCTGGGAGAATCTATTGTGGCCTTCCAGTACTTAAAAGAGACTTAGTAGAAAGATGGGGAAAAAACTTTGTAGATGGAGCTGTTGTGACAGGATGAGGGTAATGGTTTTAAATTGAGGGAAAGAATATTTAGACTACATGTAAGCAAGAATTTTTTCCCTTGAGGGTGGTAAAACACCGGAACAGGTTGTTCTGAGCTATTATCCCTGGAAACACTTACAGTGAGTTTAGATGGAGCTCTGAACAAGCTGGTCTAGTTGAAGATGCTCCTGCCTATGGCACAGGCGTTACACTAGGTGACCTTCAAAAGTTCCTTCCAGCTGCAGCTATTCTTTGGTTCTATGATAGTGTGCCAGCACTCCAACAATCAACTAAATGAGGTTTTAAAGAGCAAAGTTTCTGGTTTTATTCCCACAAAGTTACTACATACACGCACTAAGTCAAGAAAAATGCATTAAAATTCTGAGGCATGCGCCAGGTTATTGCATTGCTCCTTTGGGTTTCTTTTTGTTTGACGTTATGCATGTGTGTAAATAATTCTTCAGTGAGAAGGCCATATATATATTCCAGTTTGATGGAGAAAAAATTAGGAAACATGTACAGTAAATGAGTTTTGGCAACAGCTTCTCCCAAAGCCCTATTTCACACAAATTCTGTGTTCATTGCCTGTTTTTGACAGTGCATGTAGGAAGGAAGATCTGTTTACTATTTAATTTCATTACTGGCTTTACTTGAGGAAACTAGGTTTTCAGCTAACTTGCAGTTCCATTGTTATTGCATTAATTTAAACTCTGTATTTAAGAATTTGTTTTCAGCTGTAGTTTTAGGGGCCATTCAACCTTTTTTTGTCAAGCATTTAACTCTTTATACATATATAAAGAATAGTTTTTCTCCAGTAGGGAGAGTCTTTGAGGCTTATAGCAACCTTTCTGATGCAAAGTTCTACCCTCTATTGTATCATTCCACATGTTGGAAAGAATTTTTAAAGTATACCTTTTACTTAGTAGCATGCAATTATAGAACTTAGTTTAAACTACTCCTTTTCTTTTAATAATGTGTTGTGCATGGTTGTGGCTACTGCTGTTCTGACTTCAAGAACAATGGAAATGTTGTGAGTGACCTATAATCCCAAATATGTTTGGAAAAGCTTAATTAGAGGCAATCTTTAAACAGAAGCAGTTTGTATTCCAAACTTCATGCCATCTTAATACTACATGGCAAATCTAGATTTGCACACTGAGGCAAAATCCTGACCTTTATTTGTGAGATTTGTGTGACACACAGAGGCATTGACACCCCAGCATTCTTCTATAGGCTGCAGCAGGGATAGGACCAGAGTGGGTCCCAATCAACCCCTTGGATGGGAAGCTGCAGGAGGTGGCACAGGCCACTGCTCATGGCGCCAGATTTCTTCTTACTAAAACTGGGGGCAAGGCTGAGATTAGATTTGAGCTCCACAGTCTGAAGATAATTTACTTCTTAAAAAACCAAAAAACAAGAGAACATGCTTAATTAATGATTTTTTTTCTTTTTTCAATGGCCCAAAATATGCCTGTGTAGGCAGTCCTCAGCAAACAAAGGCATCGGTGAACTCAATTTCTTTTTCTGCACTAGGGAGGATTTCACTCTTCATGTTCCAATTTATCATTCCTGGTCATTCTCTCTTGAGTGCTATTAAGTAACCACTGAGGACAACAGGAGTGCATTGTAGGGCAGAGGGCAGAGAAAGAAATAAGGGAAACAAGGTCTTAATCTGGGCTCCTCTTTGGAGGGAGCTGGAGACTGGACATTTTTCTCCTTAAGGAGACTACATTGCAGGTGGGAGCCAGACAATGTACATACCTTGGCTGTAACCACAAGGAGACAAATGGAGGAGATAAACTGTGCAGCTGCCAGGACCATTCAGTACTGAGCTACCTTTGTGTCCAGTACAGCCTGTGCACTTCAAGCCGTACAACATTCAGCTCCAAATGAAAAGGCCCTGGGTTTTCTCCATGTAGGAAGCATGTTATCCACTATGATACGCACTGAACTCAATATACAGAGGGAACAAAGGGCAAATGCTTTGTTGATATTGTTTCCTTGTCAAAGCCCAGTGGGTCTGGACTGCTCAGCTGTCTGACACATCCAAAAGGTGATGACCAATTGTTAACAATCCTGTGAGCAGCTTCTCCCGGCTGTTCTCAGAAAAAGCAGACGGAAAGGCACAGGATGTTACGGGATCCGTCGGTGGCTTCTGGGATGTGGGAAGCAGAGAGCACTCTGTTTTCGGAGGATGCATGGCTGTAAACAGGAAGCTTTGCAGGGCACAGCTGAGTCCTTGGGCTCAGTGCAGGACACAGGGAGAAATCTGCTGAAAGAGGTAGTGGTAGCCAGCATGGAGTTGTCAAGGCATTCGGATTTCCTTGAAAGTACATCATTCAGCCTTGTCACTGACAACCAGCCCATCAGGCCAGCTTATGCACTGTTGTGTTTTCAAACCACTGAAAAAGAGCTGAGCTCTGAAATCTGGAGGATTGTGGAAGCATACAAAATGTAAACACCTGTTCCCTTAAGACTTTCCACTTCGGAAAGCACCTAAGCTAACAGTGAGTTGTTAAACCAACATTATGTAGAACTACTGCCAAAATTTCATTGAATTAATTTACTACTAGTTCACTTAATTAGAGTCCAAATCATTTCAGCCAAACTGTGACATAAAAGGTTTGACGAGCTGCAGGAAAAAACTGCACACGAAAGGGGAAGGAATGGGATCCCTAGAGTGCTTGAGCAGATCTCCTCTGAAACACCCAACAGTCAAAAAATTCAAATAAAATCACTTGTCAGAAGAACTTCATATTTTTGCCTGTGCAGTGAAAAAGAGCCAGGGCACTTGCATAGCACAGATTTAACCTTCTGAGCCCTGCCCCTCCCTCTTCCTCAAAAATCCTGTTGCAAAATCCATTCCCCAAATTATTCTAGTTTTGCTGGCACTAAGATGTATGAATTTAATAGGCTGACAAAGTATCATGGGAAAAGATAAGTGTTCCAGCACGTCCACTATTGTGTTTTGTGGTTTGGGCAGTCACTGTTGCCAAATGACCACTAAAGAAAGCAGCACATCTGACAACAATGTTATGCTACAGCATTACCAAGTAGAGAAAAACACATCAGTTTTGGAGTTTACATTTTAATCATTACCCCAAAGACAATTTTCTAAGACCAAGATAGGAGAATGAAGGAAGGAACTGCAAGGCTATGTCTTACAATTTAAATGTAATGCATTAACCACAATGCCCTATGTTTTTACCTTCTAAGGCAAGCAGATAAAATTCAGGAGTCAAAAAGGATCTTCATCCTGAGCTGGCCACTTGCTATGAAAATTGCAATAACAAAGGCTAGCTCAGGAAAATGATCCTGCAGGTAAGAGCTGAATATGTAGAAGTGCTCTGTCCTCTCACCTACAGATCTCACACTACTGCTACCATGGGTCCTCCAGGGGAAACCTGGCAGAAGCTGTCACCCTGCACCTTTCCCCACAACTGGAACTTCATATGATTTGTCATCCTTCAGTAAGACCTTTAAGAAATAATACAGCAGTCTTTTGTAAAATCTGTAAATTTGTAAAAAATCTGCTTTTATAAATAAAAGTTTACATTATTTGGGTGAGGAAATAACAAATAAATTGGAACTTTTTTATATGAAAGTTAGTTGTCCACTATGATTTATATACTTTTCACAATAGATTTTGAATTGGGAAATAGGAGGCAGAGAGGGGAGCAGCAGAGAGCCTAGGAATGGGAATAATGATTAATAACACACAGCTTGCTCTAATAGAAACTAGGAAATATATTGTCTTTTTAAGGCAAGAAATATTTTACAAAAATAATGTGTTTCTTTATGAGTAGTCTGTTTGGTCAGTCTGTCCCCTAAAAATTGTCATACCTCTTGAAACACAAGAATATTCCCGAAATCTTTTTCAAAGTGTAACCCTCAAAAGGCAGACAACAAATGGGGACAGGGGTAGGAGATGAGTCCTGGAACACCAGGAACTACATAAAGTGCATATTAACCCATGATCCTTTCTTCAGGTTTAATATCTAGGCACCCACATGCCATTTTGGTATTTTCTGCACAACAGCTCTTAGTTGGTTTATGTTCTACCAGTATCTCATTAGTTACAGATGGAAGAAGAAAGGAGGTTTTTGTCTACTGAAGGAGCCTATAAATCTCTCTCCATGACTTCAAACACCTGGCTCTGCTTACTACACTGACAACTAGCCCAATGCTGTCTCTAGCTCATTCTCTCCTACACTATAAAACTTTCCTACTTTATCTCTCACCTGTCTCTCATAACTACTCCTTAATAGGTACCAGGTGGCTCCAGGGACAGTTGAGGCTGACTCTTCCTATCACAGATATTAACTCCTTCCTTGCTTGACTCCACATTATCAGTTTATGGATTTGGGTATGCTGCCCTGTGATGAGACCTAAAACAAGGTGAAAGAACTAGGAAGAGTCTTATGATCCCACAAATTAGATGTTACCATTCTTTCCACCAGACCAGTGAACAGAGGAGTGGATTCAAAGGCACAACACCTCCATTCTGTTCTCTGTTCTGTCACTGAACTGCATACCACCCTGCCACTATGGAAATGGAAAGATTTGATCAACCAGACATTTATAAATTAAATACTACTTTCACATAAATTAAATAAAACTCAATAAAAGAGTGGTATGGGAACCATAAAATATTCTGAATAAACATATCTTCATGATCCACAAGAACAACAAAAAACCATCACCAATAACAGAAAACAAACAAACACAAAGAAACCCAAACCTGAAAACTAAGATAAGATGAAAAAGCATGATGTGGACTACAAAAACACAAAGGATTTATTTTCAGGTAATTGTAGCAGTCACATGTTGCATTCCTAACTTCTAGCTTGTAAATTGAAAGTCAAATTAATTTTTAATTGTGATCTGCAGCTGACATATCCAGGACATAAGTGATTTCAGTTTCACCTATACTGACCTTTGTTGAATTCAAGTGAATCCATTCTTGGCATCTTTTTCTTGCTGTGTTTCACCCTGTTTTATGTTCATGATGTTACAGTTAATTTTATCCTCTGAAATCAAAGTGCTTCTCTCACTCTGCTATCTTTAATTGTGTTTAATGAGGATGAACTCATGGATGCAAGACACACAAGAGATCTAGAAGACAAACATTCTTATATATTTAAATTGTTGTATATTTAAAATTTTTCAAAACAAATGACAGGCAAAAAACTCCCTAAAACTAAAACAAATAAACCATAACTTGATTTAAATACTCTGCAAATCCCAAATGAGCTACAGTGAGCATTTATGCAATGTGGGCGAACTACAAAAAGTAGACACTCACTTGCTGAGGGTGAACCTGCCTGCAAGCACGCATGAGGAAGGGTTGCAGTGAGATTGCCACAGTCTCCAGCAGCTGCCAGCCCATCAGCTGAGCAGGCTGTGATGACATGTGGGTAATGGGCTGCTTTCCTCTCCACACCAGAATCATTTCCTCCAGATGTGAAAAGTGCTGTAGAACTTTACTGTCCTTGAACCCCAAGATTAAAAGTCACTGCTCTGATGGCTTATGGAGTTTTTGGCTTTGGCTTAGTGGCATGAACCATCTGCTTGAACTACCACATTTCTTTTCCAGTGTGAATCTGTCATCGTGGCAATTAGACAAGGCACATAGGCTGGAAATAGCATATAGCATATGGGTTTCCCAGCACAGAAAGTATCAGACTGCTAGCAAGCCACTGGCTAGGATGGACACTGGTTTGGACACTTATTTTCTTGAGAGGGATGATATATGTGGTTGCCTTTCTTCTAAAGACAATCACATATATTATCCCTCTCAAGAAAATAATAAAACTCCAATAGTTTTCCCCTGGGTTTAAGAGAAGAGCATGGGAGATATGTGGTGAGGTAAAGATGATTTTTAGTCTTTTTTATTATTATTTTCTTTTGTTTGCATTTCGTAACAACTTGGGGAAATTCAGTGGTTGAAATTAAAAGAAAAAAAATACAAAGCTTCCTCTTACATGCCATCTGCTAGGAGAGGAAACCTACCCATGCTAAAAAAAATGGAAAATTTTAAGGGAGGAGAGAAGAGAACTCTAAAATCAGGAACAGTTTAGCTCAAACATATAACCTGATACAGGGATGTGTGCATGAGTCTGTGTGTGTGTGTGTGTGTGTATTTGTGTATACATACACGATATAGGTTTGTAATTTATTTAGCTACCACCCATAGCTAGAATTTCCTTTGGTGGGCTTGATGGAGTATATTTGTGTGACTGTCTTTTAAGCCACTTATCCTTTTTTTTTTTCTTTTTTTGCTTTGGGCTGGAGATTTTCAGTTTCAGTTTTGTGTGGTTCCTTGCATACATTCTTGTTTTCTGTCTGATGGTGCTGAGACAGAATGGTTCTCCTTGCTGTATTCTAGACCTACACCTATTACTTACTGTCATGTGCTGTGCTCCAGGTATCCAGATATCTCATATAGCCATGAAGATGGAGGAATGGAGGAAATCATACTATCCTGGCCAGCTGGCTTGCAAAGTTTCATATTTCAAGCCACACATTACTTTAGAAGTGACTGAAGAAGAAGTCTAGTGTTTCCCGTTAAAGCACGAGGTTAGAACTATGGTTGGCTTTTGGAGTTAATTGATTCCATGGAAAGCACAAGGGCCTCCTCACAGATCTGAGACCAAATGGCACAACATGAAAAAAAAATTACATAATGCATCTTAAATAATAATTCATTCTGAAATGACAATTGCTATTTAACAAAACCATTTGCTTTTGTGTGTGGTTAAAGGAAGCTGGATTTAGTCATTCCTGTACAATCTTTAGTAATGAGTCCCAGATATTTCAACCAAAAAAAGGCCAGTTTTCCAAAGAGAGGTAAAAGATAAGGAGAATTTTGTGGTGTTTGGTGTCACCAGTTGCAGCAGCTACCCTCCTAAACTGCAATGTAAGTCGTGCCTAGTACTTAAACTTGCAAACAATTTTAACTACATGGTAAATTTTCTTTATACTTGGGTGCAATGCAACTATGATGCGCTCAGTGATCCTTATGGGTCCCTTACAACTTCAGGTATTCTATGAGTTTGTATAGTTTGCATTCTATTCCAAAGCTGTTCAGTGTCATATATGTTTACTATGTCCTTAATAAAGGGGACCAGAAGACATTACCAAATTTAGAGGAGTGGATGGAAAAAAGTTAGCTTTTTCTTTTGTATGTTTTATATTTTCACTAAAAAGAAAATCCTTAAAATAGGATTGTATGGATCATAATTTACTGTATATTTAATGTAAAGAAAAATATAGGAGCAGCTCATGTTTCAATTCATAATTAAAAAATCAAGGGACGGGTTTTCCTAGACGCTTGTCACAGAAACTGGGGAAAACCATCACACTTACACCAGCAGCAAATAGGTGAAGAGGGCATCAGTCTCCATACAGCTTTTATAGTAACTCATGCTCTTCTCTGCTGCTCACAGTTAAGGGATCTGTGTAGCTGTGAAGTAGCTGTTCCACTGTGTCTTAAAATGGAACCAGCTGTAGGATTCTGCTGTTCTACATAAACATTATAGAACCATGTTCTACAAAATCTCTGCTGTTTTGAGGTCTTTTCATCATACATGCACATGACAAATTTTATCCTTAAAAGTGTCCAATGTAAATGATACATTTTTTTCTTAAAGTACATAAGTACTTTTTTCTTAAAGTACATAAATAGTCTTACTTTTTAGAATAAGAACTATAATGAGGAGTATTAAAACAACAGTCTACAACATCATAAATATTATCCTATTTTATTTGTAAAATAAAGGGCTTTCAGCTGGTTTCAAGAACATTAATAACATTAATGATCTATTAGGGTAATTAATCAGTATACTCAGATGACCAACTAAAATGAAAAAAGATGAAAACAAATGTTCTTAAAGAATGACAGTTTTATAAAAATACAGTTTGAAAGGAAATAACTTAGTTTACACACTAAAACTGAAATCAGCATCTGAATATTATAAGACTATATAATATTCTACTAAGAAGTAAGGGAACAAGAAAAACTATCATCCAAAGCAAGGGAGCTAGACAAGCAAAAAGTGAAGTAGTCCCATGCTCCTGATCACTGAGAAACTGGTAACACATAATTTGTGTGGTATTATGAAATGCTGAGCAAGTCTCAGACCCAACAAAACCATGCTTTTTATTTTTGTGTGTGTGACTGTTTCCTGCCAACCAAGAACAAGCTATATTAACATTCTATACATCTATTAGGAAAACACACTCCCAATTTTCTGTGCATTCTTATCTAGTCATTTGAGAAGCCTCTTTTCTCGATTCCTTGCCACGCAGTGGGATGAAATGAATGAGCTTGCTGCCTTTTTCTGTGGTAGAGCTGCTCCTGTGCCTTTCGAGGAGTGAGCTCCAGGGTCATGGGCTGTCCTTCAGGAAGCTTTGTTTCCTGCACTGGCAATATTTACTTGAAGATGACAAGTCCATCCTTCCAACAGGATGTAAGTGATGTGGGAGTCGCACAGCATGAAATGCACTTGGTAATTGAAGCCAGTCCTGCTTAGGGCTTTGAGAGGAAGCACGAAGACTTGCATTCAGCTGAGTTGTCAATGGGGCACCAGTGAAGAGAAAAAAGACAGACTCTCATGTTCTCTGTGGTCTGTGTCACTGGGTAGATGGGCTGTTGTGATTTGAAACAGCCATAAATGTGATCTGAATGCTGCAGAATTCTGATTGCGGTTTTAGCCTCTGTCTGGCTTTTCTCTGTGGTCTTACATTAAGGCAAGATGGTGTGAAACAGGAAAGAAATCCATGGACAATATTTAGTGCGGGAACAGGGGTCCAAATATCATCTAACAGCTCTTACATATATCATGAGATATCTTGTCACCTGTTTTCAGACTTCTATGCAGGCAGTCTATAAAAATTTGCACAGAGAAAAGAGTAATTCTTCTTCTAGTGAAGATTCTTTTCTAAAAACCATGGTGCTGTTTTTAGTGCCATGTGCACATATGCTGTGTATCACCTACATTATGTTTGTTGTTCCATTTATTGCCTGGCTGAAAGCACTAGCTGTTCAGAGTAATTCAACATTAATGTAAAACCTTAATTACAATCTTATGCTTTTGAGAAGACACTAAATAGATAGAGAAGAGGTTATACTTTTTCTTCACTCTGACTGGTCTTGACTCCCCCACTGAAATGAGCAGCCCTATGGACTTGCTCTCAGGGCTTGTCTTCTCAGGGCTTGACCTGCCAGCACACTGAAGTCACTGTCCTCCATAAACATATGTTCAGAAAAACACACTGGTGTGAACTTTTGTCCAGTGGAACTGTCATTCGCAGAAGGATTTTTACAGACTTGGAGTACTTGATGAATTGTAGGAAGTCCGTAGATGATTTGGTTGCCATAGGTAAGACCAAAATGAGGAGGTTTCCTGGATCAGGTGCTGTCTGGGTAAAGGCAAGGAGTCAGCTAAACTAATGATGGCTCTGTGACATCTCTGTTTAAAGTGTGCCATAATGCTGGAGTAGTGGTTCTGCCACCTTAGGCAGATGGATTTTGAAAACGTCAGAGTTTCCAACCTGCTTCCAGCCTCTGCTCCTTGGCCCACTTTACCCTTTGAACCATGTGTGAAATTCTCCACATCTACACTGCAGATCCAGGAGGCCCCAAGCCAGTCACCAAATGTGAGGGATCCATATTTCCCAACCCTGGGTACTGACATGATCTATGTCTTAATGCTTATAACAGAAGCATTCAGACAAGTTATGTCTTGTGTCACCCTCTGAAGTGATAATAAAAATGAAATCTACATTTGCAGAGTAATTGTGTGGAGATTTTCAGAAAGTGTGTTTCTCACTATGATGAATAAAGTCTCAGAGAAACTTACAGAAAGGTAAGAGAAAAACACTCTTCATTTTTCTGTATACACCTTTGTTGTAATAAGTAATATCGATCAAATATTTATCTGACATTTTTCTGTCTTTTCTATCTTTCATAGTGAGATCTTAGGTACATCTGTGACTTAGGTACATCTGCAGCTATTTCTTTTCTCTCAGATAATATTTGTTTTGGTTAAATGGAAACCCACGCTCTATCTGGTTTGCTGAGACAGCTCTCCCTTGTGATTGATAGCATTTGA